GATTTTTCCTCATTTTTATACCTTACTCCACATGTAGCTGATCCTGCCCAGTTCCATGAAGGTGTTGCCAGTCTACATTAACAGCCTTATGAAAAGTGCTCCTATGGTCGGCAGCACCGAGCTCTCAACAGACGAGAGAGCCCATCTAAGGCTGTCGGTCATGGCCATGGGAGTGGAGGACACGCAGCTGTTGCTCTACCCTCGTCTCACCCCACTGGTAGGGAACAAACTAAAAAAACAAACAAACACTGGGCCTCATTCTCCAACATCTTTCAACGTTTCTCCTTAAATTTCCTCTTAAAGTTCTTAAAAGACAGATTCACTCATTCAGTTGTCTGCACCTGCGTTCTTAAATTGATGAATGCAATTCCATTGCCATCTACGTTTGAAGCTAGGTAAACGCCCCTCCAATGCCCATGTAAGGGCATGAGACTGCTTGGCTGTGTACACACACAAATTACACTGAATTGAAAGATGAAATAGAGACATCAGAAATGCCCAAATTCCAATTTGATAAGATACATTTAACGCTGTCCCCAGAAAAGGGCACACACACACAATTCACTGAACTTAAATAGTTTGAGCTCAGCTATGTCACAATTCTTCAGAATTTATTCAATTTGATGGTGGGAGTATTCTTAAAAACTGCAGCTCTAAAATGATTGGGCCTGTAAGAGGATAGGTCATTTAAATACATGTGTGTAAAGGCAGGTTTTCATTGTCAGCATATATTTAATTTCTGCTACTCAGTGCTCAGCAGTATTTAGAATTGAACATTTGCATCTACAGTTTAGACCAATCATTACATATGTGCAGTTATAATTGAAATAAAAAGTTGGAGTGACATTTTCATTATAATGAAACGTGTTATTCAATGAGTTGAAGATACCTCAATACATACAGTTTGCACTGAAATGTGCACAAGTGTTTGTCGATTTTCTTCTTAAAGAAGAACAAACCAGGTTAACTGAGTAGACGTTGTCATTCTTAGCCAGTGTGCTGAACTGCTTGGAAAAGCTAGTGTGTGTAAACTAGTGTGTGAAATGAATGCATGTACGCTGTTTTTATTTTCAGCACAACATGGACGTCAGCAGTGAGGCTCTCCCTGCCCCAGTGCGCTGTTCAGGTGAAGGTCTGACTGACTCAGGCATGTTCCTGCTGGACAACGGACACTCCATGTTTCTGTGGCTCGGCCAAGCTAGCCCGCCAGACCTCATCCAGAGCATCTTTAATGTTCCCTCCCTCGGCCACCTGCAAGGACACATGGTCAGAATAACAGCATGTATTTAACGCAGCTTTGTTACGTCTGTGGTCCCTGGTATTAAAGTATGGTTAGAGAATGTCTGGTGAATAGGCAACTCAGAAATGAGAATGATTAAATGTAAGCTGTGAAAAAAACTGAACCGACAGTCAGTGTTACAAAGATTTATATGTAGTTTTAAAGCAAACACCACTTCACCATGTGCTGCCCATAAATAAGAGAAGAAAGCAGAGCAGATGTGTGTCAAAGCATGCTTATAGTACTACTAGGTCATGAAAACAGTTACTGGTACTCTGTTTAGAATTGTTTGTGCAACAAAACATGATGGTGCAAATACATCTCATGAACTCGTGCCAGTGACCTAATCACCATGACTTTAAGGTCTTACCAACTGTCTCCCTTTGTTTTTCAGTGTGCGCTGCCAGAGCTGGACAACCCATTGTCCAAGAAGGTTCGATCCATCATCGACAGTCTGCTTGAAAAGAGGCCGAACTCTATGAAGGTAAGAAGATATCTAGAGACACAACATAGACCCAAAAAAACCTTTGCCCTTTATAACTTTATTTTTAAACTAGAAAACAATAACATCAATTAGTACCAGAGTAACTTTTGATTAAAGGAACACAGGTAAAAGAGAGGTAAGAGGAAATAGGCCATGCAGCTTTTAATTGAGCTTTGTCTACCCCTAGTGGAACAAGTCAGTAATTACAACACCCAAGAAAAAACATGCAGAAATACAAACAAACAAAGTATTTCCATGGATGTGAATAATAAAACCTTTCTGTAAAAATAAATGTATCAATGAATAGTTGAGAACATTTAAGAGAACAAACGTCTGATGAGCTGCATGCAACAGATCACATTTGCTGACTTTTCTCCTCCCTCAGCTCCAGATCGTGAAGCAGCGAGACAAACCGGAGATGTTTTTCCGGCAGTTCCTGGTGGAGGATAAGGGTCTGCATGGTGGAGCTTCCTACATGGACTTCCTTACCTACGTTCACAAAGAGATCAGGCAGCTGCTAACTTAACCCCTCAGTGCTTGGCCTCATTGTCCTTTGAGAAACCACGGCATCTCACGGGCCATGTACGAACTTCACAGGGTCCGTCTCAAACGGCTGGATGGTCCACTGAAAGCAAACTTTTTAAGTGTTTATCAAAGACAAAAGATGAAAAGAGGAACCCAGAAAAAAAAAAAAAACCTGTCGAGATTTAACCCCCCAGAGTACGAAGCTGCCTTTCCTATGAGCTTTTGTCATCACACAATATTTTCCTCAAATAACCACTTGTCACATGAACAGCCTCCCTGGAGAAATGAGATGGACAAAACATGCAAAAACATTTCATGCACAGTCTCTTTGTGGTTGACTGTGGAGCTCGGGATGACATCATCGCCTGAGGCTGGAGTGCATTTAGGCATAAAGCCCGTTGGCAAGAGCAATACGACATATCTCCACTGTGCAGTCAAAATCCACTTCACTTTGCAGTTCTATGCGTTTATGACAAGGGGTTTTTGTAGGCAATACTGTAGATGTTCACTTGGGAAAAGAGCAAACTCCTGTGAATACTAAGTTCAAATGGAGTGTTAGCAACAAACGTCTTAATCGTTCCTTCAAAAATACATTTTACAGTATTTATAATGCTTACGGCTCCTATTTTTATCTAACTTTTGTGGTCTTAGAAAGAGAAAACGTATTCATATAAACATCAAAGTAGTGTATTCACAGTACTAGATACTTTACATTTAGTGGAAACAATGCCGAAATAAAACCCACCCAAAACATAATCGACTTTAAGCATTCCATTCACACATATCCTTCTTTAATAATCTCATTCTCTGACCATTTAAAGCAGTTCTTTTCTCTTCACATTGTGCAGAAACATTTCATTATCTTTCTTTCAGGGTACAATTAAAAGAAGACAGCTGTTGATGTTAGCAGGATGAAAACATTCCCCCTCTCTGCACAGAACCTCAAAATGAAAAGGGTGAATTAGGGCTAACTATTTAAATTTGTAATGAGGAACAGGAAGGGAGCGCTAATGATGCTGGGAGGCATCAAAGGGAAGAAGTTTAATGTCAAACATTTCCAGTAGTGACACACAAAAAAACCCTGTAATTATGATGCTTCTGTGTAAAACTCAAAAGTTCAGTCTGGCTAACATTCAGTAAAATGTCGTAACTGTAATCTGCTAAATTGTCTGTAATGATGACGTGTAACACATCATACTTTGTTCATTGCTTGTTTTTGAAAAGGAGGTAATAGCTTCATTGTAATTCATGTATGCATTCAAGAACTATTTTTGTGTTCATATGGCCTACAAACAGTCTTTTTGTACAAGAAACACAGAACGTACTGTGTTTTCAAAATATTACCAAATGCCTTAAGTTGATATAATAGTTGTTAAAAATATGTTAAACTTTATATGTCCTCGAGGTCTGTGGCTGATTTCAATCTTCTCGGTTTGTATGCAAACTTATCTCAGGTAATTTGAGTACCTTACTATTTGAAGTTGGAAGAAATAATTTCAATATAACTGGAACAACGGACGTTTCCTTTACGAATAGACGTGGAGATTCACAGGCATGTTGGCCATGTACATTTCATTGCAAACCCTTAACCAATTCTGTCTGAATTAAACTGTTCACATAACTTTTGTTGCTCTTTTTTACCCCTAATATCTCATGAAATAGATTTAGGATGTAAGAAAAAGGACACCATTAAAGACAAAAATCTGTATCAACTTAGCTGGTTTCTGATCTGCGATACAGTCCTGCTGGCAGTGTTTTTTTCTCCTTGTATTATCCTCTTACCGCCACAAGGGGGCACCAGACCGACTCTTCATCTGAGACAAACGAATAAGAGTAAAATGCTTTTTTAATACAATCTGCTTCAATTTAAGCCAAAGCGTCCTGATTAACTGATACAGATATACAGTGAGCTGCCCTTTCAGCATTTTATCAAACTAATTAATACATGTGCAAGTGTAGTATCTCATGCCACTCATTATCTGAATGAAAGTCTCTGTCCATTCCTAAATTACAGTCATACAGTGTGAACAAATTTTTTTCTACAGCCTTTAATACCAACTGAGCCATTTAAAGGTCACATATTATGCAAAATACACTCATGTTATTTTAACACTAATGTGTCCTCAGTCTGTCTACAAACCCCCCAATTATGAGAAAAGTCCACACTCTCCATTTTTCACCTGCTCCACTTTTCAGAAACTGTGTGCTCAAACAAGATGTGTGGAGATTTTCCCTTTGTGACATCACACAGGGCAGAAACCCCTCCCCAGGGTGGGTGACACTCCCACAGCTAGGTGTTTGTTCTGCCCTCTGAGTCGGCCTTCTCACTGGAAACATGTAGGCATGATGCAAGAAATCCCAAGCCCTTCCAGAGGGGCGTGGTCAAACACAGCTCATTTGCATTTAAAGTGACAGACGCAGAAACAGCCTGTTCTGAGCAGGGTGGGTTTATAACAAGAAACTTCACAGACATGTTTTGGGGAGCTCTGAGACTTATTTACACTTGTTGCAAAGGAGGATAATATGTGACCTTTAATACATAATTGAAAGGTTGAGTTGTGGCTTTTATTTTTCCATGTTTGTCAGATTTCTGACTTTCACCCTTTGGGTGTTATTTATAGAAGAAAGTAGAAATGCTTCAGAAAAGACGTTTCTGCATCCATTTGGAAAAAATTTTTTTCAATATGTTTGGAAATGATAAATGTTACAAACTTGTGTTTCCCCCAATTTAATCAGTAAAATGTCACATTTCATAGATTTCTGAGAATATAAACTGAATTGTCAATCAAATAAGAGTGTTAAGTTTTACAAACAGTAAGGCACAAAAACAGAAATCAAGGAAAACAATGCAGTTTGATACTTTTTCGGTGCAACTTTACATACTTCGTCCAACAAAATGTGTAAAAACCAAAAAGTGGCAGTTTTTTTTGAACGATTAAATAAAGATCATGCCTCACTGAGAAATGTTCTTATTACTGACTTGTACTTCCAGTAATGCCGTGTACTGTCAGAATGTCTGAATCCAAAACATGAGCAACCTTTGAATGCTTCAGAAACTCATTCACAAAACGTCCAGAAACTTCTCTCAGTGGTCCAGTGGTTTCCAACAAGCAACAGGAAGTCACTGAGTGAGACTTCTACCAAGCATGCTTTGTGTTTGCGCTCATATGGGGCCAAGCAATGCTTTAATCACGGACAGCCAGGACCAATCAAGCTGAGTGGGAGTGGGCAGCCCGCAGGAGGAGGAAGAGGAGGAAGAGGAGGAGGGAAACAGTAGGAAGTGAATTAGCAAACAACCTGAAAATGATGAATATCATACAAAGTTGAATTGTGAGTACCCACACGTAACCACACTGACTTTTTTTATGAAAACAGGGAATACCATGAAGAAATGTAAAGAGCTCAAATTCACCCGAGAGCAAACTTTCATTTAATACTGTACAACTGACAATCTTTTGTACAATGATCATAGTAGCATATAAATAACCTAACAGAGTGCTTCAGAAACAAAAATAAAACCAGAGTTATGATGGTTAACTTTACAGGGGAAGTACATACATCAGGGTTCAAAGAAATACACTGAAAGCAGCATTAATCTTAAGACAAAGATATCATCTAAAGTTATAGTGGTGGTAAATGTAGCTACCTGTGTGCTTGTGTAGACAAACCATCGTTATTATGGTCTGGTTTTGACATCAATACAATCCTTGTGTTGTCTCCATTCTAGTTGGCAAGTAAACATGGACAAAGTTGAAAGGTTTTTTTTCACAGAGTAATCATGTAATGCTTTATCTATAAGTATTTACAATTCAAAATGGTTCACCTCTAGGTTTTTTTTGTTGTCTAAATGCTTCCTTCAAAGACCACAATGGTTAACTAAGTCAGGGTGGAAACACTCTGGAATTTAGAGGCAGTTAGGAAGGTGATAACTGCAGTGGCAATTAATTTGTTCTGTTTCACTTTCTGATGCTGTAAAAACGTCACAGTGATTTTAACTGCTCACAAATAAAACAAGTCAAGGCTGAAACTGAAATCTCATTTTGTGTTGTTCTGTAAAGTCAAAGGCTTGAAACTGTTTGTAGAATGCAGCATTCTGTAAATTGAAAAACACTCCAGAGACAGGTGGTGGGAGTGGACCTTGAAGTGTTTTACTTTGAAAACTCCACACGTTCTTGAAACCTCCCCCCTCTCCTTTATATTTATTTATAATTTGATTTTCTTTCCTCAATAAGGGAGATTATTCCAGAGTGTTGGCACCATATTTCGCACTCCTCTGTGTCGCCCTCAGTGATGAACAATGTTTTATCTATGGTCAAAAGTCTGCATAGCACACTGTACACAGTATGAGTCCAAGTCAGAGCTAAAGATGAAGTCCTCTCCCAAAACCGTCACAGTGGGCCAAGAGTTAAAGAACATTTTCAAAGAGGTGCATTGATCGCATGATGTTTTCATCCTGCGCACAAAGAGAAAAACAAACGTAATGAGAACGGGTAAGTGTGCCAACAGAGCCCAAAGCGAAGTGAAGAAGGGGATATCCAGCTTACATTTTGGCAGCAGTCGATGAACTCGTCTATGGTTACCACTCCGTCTTTATTTTTATCCATCTTCTGTTGAGACAGAGAGGAGGAGAGAGGAAAAATAAATAAAGGAGGTTTTTTTTAAAGCCTCTTTTCTGTGACTGACAGCCAGCGACACACTTGCCTGGAAGAAGACTTCTACATGCTGACGAGGCGTCTCCTCTCTGAGGACGGGGTATGTACATTTTCCCATCATGTCGTAGATGGCCTTCATGATGTCAAGCATTTCCTACCACACATGGAAAAAGGTCAGTTTACCAAACGGACAAGACAAATAACTCCTCAGTCAACCCTTAAGAAAAAGACATGTAGATCATTTCAGTATCATGTGGCAGAGATGTTAATCTTTCCCTCTTCGGGATACCTGCAGGATTTCTACTGAACGTGGAAGTGAGTAGTTCTCACAGAGAGGTCTGTGGATTGTCAAGGAGAAAACAGAAACTGCTTCATCTTAATTCTAGAGGTTTTAGGCATACTAACATGATAGTAGTGAAGGAGGAAATCTAAAGATGAAACAGATACATTCTGGACTTTCATTTCATTTCAGCTGTTATTCAGCGCACATGCCTTTAAGGAAGAATATGCAACTTTTTGATCCAGTAGATGTCGCCCCTTCAGCAACAGCATGAAACCAAAACAAACTGCCATCTGGCGACACCTCCGCCGAAAAACCGCAACACAGCATCCTCTCCAGAAAACGACTAAAAAAAACCGTCCCTGTTGAACTCTTGTTTACATCCCTTTATCCCCGGCAAACAAGGCTTTCACTCTTTATTTGACTGATTTGTTCATTCTTTTTGTTCGTGCATTACTTGTTCTTCCCTCATGTAAAGCATCCTTGGGTACCATGAAATGAGTTATAAAATCTATGCGTATAATCAGCATTTAAGTATGGTTATTATGAGTACTTGTGCAAATAGACACAAGCATTTAACTCAGGCAGTTCTTGGCCTATGCACAGTAAAGCTTCACACAGAGGTGTATACTTTTAAATCTTGTTACAATTTTCCTTTAATACCAGGGGAATCACAAAATGACATTCCATTGAACTCAAATACACTTGAAGGTAGGCATATATCTAAAACACAGCATGTAAAAAGCTGGAAAAAAATCAGAAAAAAACTTGGCAAGAAAAGTTTCTTCAGAATACGTGTGAACTGGCCCTTTAAGAAAACCTTGAAGGGCCAGTTCACTGGTGGTTCCAGTGAATGTTTCAAAAGGACATACCTCTTTAGTGATGTATCCATCTTTATTGATATCATAGAGGTTGAAAGCCCAGTTGAGTTTTTCCTGGATTGTTCCTCGCAGGAGGATGGAGAGGCCCATAACAAAATCCTGCAGTGAAAAGAAGATTTACTGAGAAAAATGTGTAATATGCACTAAAACAAAACAAGCGTTCTAAAACAGTCTAAAGCACATTACACACAATATTCCCCAATCACCATGCCTATTAAATAAAGGTAGAATCTCATCCACTTTTATGCATCAACTTTCCTGCAACGATAGTATTTTAGGTGTTAATTAGAAGTAAATGATGAAAGAGCAGAAGTAGGAGAAGTATGCTGACACATAACATTCTCTGGCCTTCTGGGAAATCCCCATACTAGTTCACAGAATGGACCACATATTAGCCAGTGAAGCTGTGGACTGGCATAAAGACAGCTTTTCTGTCCTAATAAGCAAATATCTGCCATTCATGAATATGAATCAAGTGTTGATAGCATTCCAACCAGGCCTGTTTGGGCTGAATTAAAAATGTCTGGGGTTGCAGGTTACATAATGCTCCAGTGTAACGAGTCATGGCCTCACTGTGATGTGTTTTTTAGGATATGTTAGTGCTCCACAGGACTTTTCTTTACAGTTTTGAAAGCGATATCTTTTCTTTAGGTTTTTAGAGCTGTAACAAAATGGGAAAACTTACTTACCTCAAAACTCACAGAGCCGTTGTGATCTGTGTCGAAAGCATTGAACAGGAAATGTGCGTATGTTGAAGCATCTATGGAGAAAACAAAAATAAACAACATGAAAATACATCTGTGTTCATTACAGCTCTTTTAACACCAACAGCAACCATTTCTGCAATGGAGGAAAAGTTTTTTTAGAACATCTTCAAAGAGAAATTGCTCCTCCTATTTCCCCCCCCACTCCTGATAAGTGAGAACAAAAAGCTTATAACAGAGAGTTTTATCATTGTCCCTTGTGTGGTGAGCCATTATATTTACTGCTCTGCCTCCTTTCTCTCTGAACAGATGAATCAAAGCCTTCTTATGTTTTTCTCTCTTGTTTTTTCGGGTGCAATCTTTGCATAATGAAGAGAGCCAACACTGAGCATTTCCAGCTGCATTCATACTTTGTCCCTTCTTTCCTCACAAACTCATTTCCTTTTGATGGAAGTTTAATTCAAAGTGCTCGTTGTGCCATTTTAGTAAACAGAAGTGAGAGACAGTATGTGCCTGTCCAGCTCACAGAGGAGCTAAGAAGCAGCCTTGAGAGGAAAAAAAATAAAGCAAGAACAAGGCACAAACCTCCTTGTGGGAAGAACTGTGCGTAGATGTCTTTAAAGGTTTCTTCATTGACAACTCCACTGGGGCATTCCTGCAAGACAAAATGCGTATATAAGTGTATATAAGTTCAAGCTGAGTCTAGGGTGTGTCAACATATTGCGTCTGGAAGTTGAACTCTTCAAATAATATTCAAAATTCTTGGATTCTAAAACTTTTCAATGCTGTAAAGAGGTGAGGTGCAATTCTGTGAGATTTTAAAATCTGTTTGAGTTCTCACAGGCGAGGGGAAAACCACGGCAGACCAATTATTCCAGCTGAAAACTGTGTCGACACGATGTCAAACATTTAAAAGGTTGAATCAAAGCCAGCCTTCAAAATAGGCCGAACATTGCCAAACTAAGCATGTTTTTTTTTTAAAGAACTAGGTTTGATGACTATAACTATCTACTGGTATAGGAAGATCTTGTTTTTGGTGACCTCTAGTGTTTTAACTTGCTGCCTTACTTAAGGGATTTAAAAAGTGTACTCCTCAGAGTGTCCAGTGCGTGAATTAAACAGTGAGATCAATTTTGGGTGTGGTTAAAGGTGCCACAGAGCCAAAACTCAAGCAGAGGGAGTAGGGAATTACTGTCTTTCACTTTGATGTCAGCTAAGTCTTTAACTTTAGAGCTCCTGAACTTTGGCCAGATGTTGAAATGTGTGTAAGATATAAACAGATTTATTAGTCTCATGAAGCATTCACTGAAGTTTGACAACACTACGGTTCATACAGAGTTCAAAAAGGACTCATTGTGCGGTTTCAACTATTTCTCTGGACTGTGTAGATGTGGCCAATAGCATTTGGAAAAAACAGTGTTTGGGGCTGCTTTGTTATCCGTAGCCATGTTAGAAGTTATCCACATGTAACATAAGGTGAGATGCACCTATTGATGTTCAAAGCAATGACTGCAGTGCTAAATTATAACTCTGTAGCATTAGCTAGGGCTATATTATTACCAAGTTACACTCCCCCTGCAGGCGCTTAACTGCAACTGCTGAAAATAGATCCAAATATATGTGAATTGAAGTTTCCAGAGCTTTTAGATCAATAAATGAGCTGCATGTTAATCTTTTCATTTACCCCTTTCGTTAAAGATGTTTTTAGAAAGGGTATTATACTCCATCGAGGATTCACTGCATCATGTTTGGTACTTCAACCCTTGATAGTCTCTCAGAGAGCCCATGACAGAAAAACATTCAATGTGTTGGTTTTTCAATCTTGTAACCATTCAGGCTTCAATGGATATCTTGTCAACGGCTATTCAAAGCAACCCACCTTTGGTCGTCTGCAGGCATTCAGTTAGGAACACTGAATAGTCTTACATAACACCTGAGAGAAGGGTGCCTTTGTGTCCTTTCAAAGAAAACAGCCGACCAAAGACTTGCTGGATGACCTTGCTCACAGCTGCGTGGTGATAAAGGCAGCAAGTTTTGCAGGTTCAATTTCTGCTTGCTGCGAGGCTGCACACATGGGCAGGATATTATATCTTCGGAGCAAAGGAAATGTTCTGCCTAGAGAGACCATTTCAATTTTTTTTCCCAAACAAGAAAATAAACCATGCCTTGGCAGTGGATGGAGGAAATCAAAGATAAGGTACCTGGGCCTGGAAACGAAAAAATGAACAAGCTGATACAGAAAATAAATCAACATTACATTTATACCCAGTGATTCTTCATATTGCCGTGGCTTTATCTGTGAATTAATGTTCAAAACTAACTGAGTAACAATCTTTTTCACTTTTGTTTTAGAAAATGAAGTCGTGAGAGTTTGCTTCAGTCAGCCTTTGCTCCACTTCTCAGACACTCAAGACACAATTTTTCCTGTGTGAGCAACTGTGTTCAGAACAAAGCGGGTTTCCCCCTTCCTGTGAACATGTCCGAACAACCTCCAAGCAATGGAGCTGCAAAAGCAAAGAGGGAACCTTGTTGACATGCTTCAAAGGGGCCACCTCATGTCTCAATCTGAGAGGATGCTGCAAGGTTGTCTGTGTGGGTCCCCTGGCGCTCTTCTTCTGTTGTCTCACAGACCTACTTTCATATCTTGTTGGTTAAAGTGAGGGAAAGAATTTTAGGGAAGTAAGGGAGACAGAATGAGCACAACAATCTCTTCATATTGAAGTTTGGCAGCGTGTGTCCTGATTAAATAAAGTCTGAGAGTCAGACATGGTGCAGTTCTTGTAAACTAGCCAATCAATCCTGATGATGTCGTTGGATACAAACAGCTCTCCATGGCGGGCGCTCTAAGTAGCATCTGTATAAACCACGATCCTATCCTAAACCCTGACAGGTATTTGTGGTACCTAAACCTGAATAAGACATTTTGTATGTTTCATCTTGAGACTATCAGAGTTTGGTTTTGGTGGTTTAGGCAACAACAGTAAATGTGTCCCAGTTCAGGGGCTGCAGCCATCGGATTGCGCATTTGACAGCTGATTACATCACAGCAGTGCGTTGAAGGCAATCTATTTGACAAATTTCATCCTTCTTTCCGCAGCAAAGAACTTAGGGTGGTCATCTGCCCCTGGACATGGCTCTACACTGACAAAGCTTTCGAGTAAAATAGACCTTTTAGTCAAATCCCAGTACAGAAGTACTAACCGACCACAGCCCAGGAGAAGGGGATTGGGCAGATCTCTTTTTTTGGAAAAGAAAAAAAAAAAAAGATTACGATGAAAAGCAAAGCTCGAGGCTGTTTGTAGGCATGTTAACATACGCACATGATAATGCTAACATATTATGTTTTTCTGGTATGTTTACCTTGTTTTGGACGTTTGCTAATTGCAGCCTTTTTTTTTTTTTTAGTGTGCTATCATGCTAACATTTAATAATTAGCATAGCAAACAAGAGACAAGTAAGGCCTTTGGAAACATCCCTCACAATGTCTCCTTTCGTTTATCCCTGCATACACCTTACCTCTATTTGTCAACTAGGTGCTTGGCTTCGAGCTTGCTTTATTGCATGCTATGCTAAGCATTCATCGTATATAATACTTGCAAGAAAGTGATATAGTAGGCTACCCCCCTCCCCCCCCACCCACCCCCCAATTCTTTTACTTTTCGGTTGAGTATCTCACTTTACTTTCCAATTTCACAACTATTTTCCAGCCAGTGCTGCAGAAATGATCAGCACAGGGAGAAAAACTTGAAGAAAGAACAAATCCACTCGAAAACCAAAGCTGCTCCCCAACATCTTTGTACGTCTGAAATACAGACAGTTTCTCTGTGTTGTTTGGAAGAGCTCCCGTTAATTAGAGCTTTGTTTATGCTCTACAACATTGCAGTGAACGGCTGTCAACAGTCAACCTTTTGCTGAAGTAGCGCAGGGAAATGTCATGTAATTAAATATGTTTTAACAACATCTAATTTCACCTCAGTAGTAAAGTCACCGCACGCCTCTAATAGTGTGTTTGTTTTCGTACAGTGATGGGCAATTACAGCTGTCGACACTTAAACAACACTGATTATGTGACAGTCATATATTCCAGGCTCTAGTCCAAGTCAGCTTCTTGCTCTCACCTTGCTAAGTCATCCTCACAATCCTGAAGGGAAATTAAAAGTCAGAAAACTTTGCGATTCTTGAACTGAGTCTCAAACTGAAATAAAGAATTCGACTGATCGGATTATATATCGGATTTCTCTCCCCGCCTCGCGATGATATTGGCAAGGGAGGCAGTTTTTCTACTGAGAATGAAGCCAGCGTGTTATCAAGTTATCATCTCGTACAACTGCAATTTAATTTAAAGTTCTGTGAAATCCGTACACTCAGTTGATGCCTGCACTGCCTTAAGCTCCCATCAGGATGAACTTTGATGTCGCTAAGATAAATGTCAGCACCTCATTCACTCACTGTTCTTTATAGACGTCATTTGTGTTGAGCTTTTGGGAAAGGCTGTTTTCTTCTAATGCATTTTTCTCCGCATCAGGGAGAACCAAAAGATTAATTCATTCCACCGTTAAGGACATGCAATAATTTACAATTTGAACAACATTTTACAATATTTAAGGGTTAGGGTTAAGGTTGATAGACAAATTTGATTCACTCATACCCAGGTCATAAAATGGAAATGTAGGTTGAAGGTGCATTAGTATTGGTTCATTCTTATATCTTAGCTTCTTATTGATATGCAAACTTTTCACAAGCTTATATTTCTTAATCTAAACCAAAACTGAAGTCAGATTTAATTCAATATCATTCATTATCAATCTAATAGGTGAGCATTAGAGGTCAAAACATTTATCTGTATTCATTTAATAGTCTTGTAAACTTAGCCCACCCATGATAAGAAAATCACAAATACAATCTGTGAAACTCCTTTTCTGAACCAGTGAAGCAGCGCGGCAATAAGAAGTGCGGGGGAATGAAATAATCCTGTGAACAGAGGCATCATCTTTGATGGAATAGACACTGTGCGATCTTAATCCAATGCCCGAGGCAATGCCCTGCACTGTGAACTGTGAAAGCCCAGCAGATTTAAGCAAGATGTGAGGACATATTGTGTTATTTCCTTTTGTCGTCTTGAGTCAAGGGATTTATGAAATGATAGAATCTCGTATTTCTTTACGGTGGCCTTTGCTCTGATTTCACCTTAAGAGTAAATCCCAGTCAGAGCCCTTCATTTTGTCTCAAAGCCTGAATTTGAGCACCTGTGCTGCAAATGAATGACAAGTTTGTTGTCAAGACGAATGACCTTCTTCTGCCGACCATATTAAGAGGTATTTGATTTACTCCAAAGCCCTGGACGACAAGGACAAAGGGCCACATTTCTCATTTTGGGAGCCATGCCAGCTTCAATTAGTCTGGCTGGCCTTAAAAGCCTGTCTTATTCTACCAATCTTACTGGGTAGGGGTGAATCAGAGATGAGTTATTTGACCCTGACACTTGTATGGAATGAGTGATGGGGGTAAAAAAACTATTTAGCAGCTGTACAATTTGGGATTCTGCCATAACACTGAACGTGATTGAAGTATCTTAAAAACAAAGATTTAAAGATGTTTTCTCCTCATAATAATACTAAACACATTTTCTAAGTACTAGCCCATATTTAAACCAGGTGGCATCGCACAGACGAGCAGAGACTTCAGCTTGTGCCATTGTTTTGTGTGCAAGTGGGTGTAAATGATGCACAACTTAATGGGATTTCTTGGGAAAGAAAATACAAAGAAAGCAGAGACTGAGGGGGAACGGCAACTTGCTGTATGCTTTGCAGGGAGAAGGAGCATTGGATGAGAAAATGTATGGGAAGAACTTGTCAAAAGGGTTAGACTATTTCTAAGTGCTGACTAGACTGGAGATTATAACCTCAGTGTTATTTTTGGGGCCATTTTCGCCTTTATTAGACAGCTAAAGAGAGACAGGAAAAGATGGGAGGAGAGAGTAGGGGATGACATGCAGCAGGGGGCCGAGGTCAGGTTGGAACCCACAGCTGCTTCAACGAGGACAATACATGGGACACATGACATAACTGCTGGGATATCCTGCGCCCAAAAACCTCAGTGTTTGAATATCTGTTAACAGCTAAGTTCAGCCTCAAGGGCTATATCATTCACTGGGACTGCTCTCTGGGATTGGCTGCTGTATTTTAGTAACACTTAAAGGTAATGACATTTAAAATTCAGATTATAAATCCCACATATGAACTATAAAATCTGGAATCGACCGTTTCACCACCACCAATTCAATTTCCCCTCGCATGATTAATAAAGTCTTCTTCTTCCTAGATTTGATACAATCTGAAAACTTTCATCCAATCGTATTGCTTCTTAAAAAAGGGCCCAGGGAATCAGCGCCTGTGGAGTCTTTTCTAAAAACTGTGCCGATATATCTTTACATTTTAATGGATGAGTGAAAACTTGCTGGGGTGATGCTGCTGAATCATGAGACCCAGAGGTGGACTGAAGTCATCCAGATGCATCATCTTGGAACCTTAATCCTTCAAACAGTTGAGACATTTTAATGCTTTCAGTTGTGATCTGATTGACGGCGAAATCTGTTATGTAAAACAAAATAATTATTGAGAGGGTGTCTGCAAGACTTTCTCCCTCAGAGGAAGTCATGCAGAGTGTGCGGCACAAATTAAAAGCCTCATTAGTGCACTTCTTACCTCTTTCTCCGTCTCAAGTGGAGGCAGACTAATGGGCAGGCTTTGTAGGGACTTTGCAGGAGCATATAGTGCAGGCTCAACAGGAAAGTGAAGCCTCATGGGACTTCCAAACATCACAGGACTCTCACTATCCTGCTCTCTTTCATTGCCAGACAATTTGGGTTGAGTTGATTCTGGGTCATCTCATTACGCCTCACACCAGAGGTGACAATGAGGTTTCTATGAGTTGCTCTGGAGGACTTTGACCTGATTGCTCATCACTAATCTCCCACAATGTGTTCCAGATATGAGCTAATTATCTTTGGCACAGTGTAAAATTTGATTTTCAGTGGTAAACACATTTGGATGTGATAACTATCAGTGCAAGACACAGATGATTCAGGAAAAACAGCACTCATAAGATTCTTGATTTTCATTTTCTAGCATCAACAAAAGAATGAATGCTCAAAAGAAATGTGAAGCAGGGTGAAGTAAAGCAATAGAAAATCTGCCTGCTACAGAAGGGGATGAAAAAGAATAAATGAAATCAAATCAAAGGAAAATAATGCCCAGGAAGGTATGTCCAGCAAAGAACAAAGCCCACTGAGCTATACATTATGGATGGTGGCCTCCTCACTTACATTCTTGAAGCCGCGGTAGAGGATCTGTAGCTCCTTCCGGGAGAAACGGGTCTGCGCTTCGAGCTGCTCTAGGCCCTCGGGGCGATGGCGGACCGCCGATAGTTCAAGCTCATCTTCAACGCTGTCTGTGGAGACGGAGGGAGAAGGTTGGGTGTGAATCAGATGCTGCTGAGTCTGAAAGAATTAGCCCCTTAGAGGCTACAACTTGAGATATCCCATTTCACTTACAACAATATCAGGTAGAGCTAAGAAAATGAACTCAGGTTCTTCTCTATCCAACTGCCATTGTCTCCTTTCAAGAAAATATCCATTGAAGAGAATCTACTGACCACGTTTACCACATTACTTCAGCTTATATGAGAATATAGATGTAACATTGGTACATCTTTATAAAACCATAGTAAATGAAATGCCTTTAAAGTTAGGGTTAGCCATTTGCTACTTTCCCGTTTTCCTTTAAATCAACTGTATATCTCCATACAGCGATTCTGTGATAATCTATATATAGCCATCATAAAATGTGACATCATGACATCTGATTAACTGAAGGATATAAGATGCCTCTGTAACGTTGCAGGTGGTAAAGTCGAGATCATTGTATTTATTCTCTGCATATCGGTGTCAGTTTCACCTCTCATCATGCTTTCGTCCTTCAACCTCTTCTTCTCACCACTGTCTGACATTATCCCGCTGTCTTCTTCTTCTTCTTTTATCCTCCTGTCAACCTCTTCTTTGGCCAATTAACTCCTGTACGTGTTTCCCACTTTCATGTCAAAAGCGCCACTGTTTAAGGTCATGTAGTAATGATGCAGTGACTCATACCGGCGCTACATTTTAAAAAGTTAAATAATGGATATTTGACACCAGCAATTCAATAACTGTATTGTGTTGCATCAGTATTTTTCCCTCCCTCATTCTCTATTGTTCCATCAAACTTGGATCTTCTTTAACTAAATTACTATATAATCATTGATGAATTAAAAAAGATGGATAAGGGATCATTTGACCAGCACACATCTTGTTGCTCAACACTGATAGTTCTTTAAAAGAAAAGTCTAAATGATTCAGGTTCAGGCACTCAGGATGGTTGGAAAAGTATAAAAGGCCTTTATAATTCACAGGGCCACAAACTTAAAAATATACCAACGCATATCTGCTTGAGCTTTCTTCAGGGTGTTGTAACACACACTGAGAGTATTGCTGTGGTCGCCACAGGTGTGCACAGGTGAGGCGTGCAACATTTGTTTGATGTAATTCCATTTAATATAAATCGTTCTGTAATAACTTTTTATGCTGCCGTCTTGGCCTAGACTCCTTTGCAAGAGATTTTGTATCTCAATGGGAATATTCTTGCTCCATTACGGTTCAATAAAATTCCCTTAGATGCCCTTTTTCTCACCCTTACACCAAGTTCTTTAATTTACTTCACAATACCAAAGAAAAAACTGACTCCCCTGCTTCTACACTAATAGGACAGCAGAGGTAATTAAGGTTTGTGCGACTCAAGAACAAAGTCCTTGTGGCAGAGAGCCCCTTCATGAAGGAGGGTGGCTGCACCCTGTGATACTTTTTAATGGGTCTGTGCTGTTGGCAGATGCTGTCTGGGCCCTGTCACCGACCACAGCGTCCTCGCAGCACAGCATTTGGCTTGTCTTATTGGCTCAGGGCCTCCCACATACCTGAAGTGTGACACAGTGTCTAAACGGCTCATTAGCTCTGAGGGTCTTATTGTGGCCCGAGCATACAAAAGTCTTCTGACAGGGCACAATCAACCTTCTGCTCCAGAGCTCATCGCTTTGTATGCCGACAAGTTGTGAAATGATGTATTATAAGCTATCTGATATGATCCTCATTATCGAATGAGTCTAAACGTTCTGTTAGATTATTGTTTCTAATCCATGTTTAACATTAGATATCAAATTCATTTGTTCATGTAAAAAAAAAAACAAACCCACATATAATGATGGTTTAGAAGCAGAAATGAATGTGGAGAATCAAAAACGATTTTGACAGCAAACACCATTCCGACAAAATGACTGAGCACTTCACTCTGCATATAAAAATAAACCCAAATCACACATTCAGTTACCATTCTCTGTGCCTTTTCAGCCGTAAAACCAAAATGTCAATAACTATTTTATAAAAATGGATATAAGATGAACTTCAGCAAAAGCAATCATTTGTGGAGCCTGAATTGAGGAGCATGTCCTCATAGAAGGAGGGGGAAAAAAAAGGATGAAAAAGCGTCGTAAACATTATCAACAATGAAAAAAAACCTCAAACAGACACAAATAGAGACAGAAACAGAGAAAGAGAGAGAGAGAGAGAGGGCGCCTGTGAAGAGCCACTTGCTTTGATTACTGGAGGATGACTTTTTGGCCGTGGAGCATGGAAAGAGCCTCATGAGTCGAGCTCTCACTCCGCGCTTGTGGACAATCTGAGGGTAGCCTGGGAAATACAGCATTAGGTTTCATGGTTACCCCGGGCAACTCACAGCCTCCATACATTCTAGGAAACTGGACATGCAAGCGACGAGGGTCTATAATTCAGTACAGACAGAAAGGCTAGAAAACAGCTGGTTCTTCAGGACAACAACTCAGTATTTTGCACTGCAATAGTGTCAAAACTATTTGTTTAATTTGGCATTTTTTTTAATGACATTATATGAAATACAGGCCTGCACAATATAAGAAAGATCTGCGACTCGCGACAGCATTGTTCAACATCTCTGTGACGGGTGATAAATGAAGCATGAATTGCGAATGGTTAAATTATCTTTAACCAGCAGATCCTGTCTTTTTTTCTGTGTGTGTTTCTATACACAGGAAGTGTTTAGGTAACACTGTCTCTCCTGTGCTGTGCTTTTCAACCCCAAGGTCTAATCTAACCACATTTTCTCCGCCTTCCTTCTTTTTCCTCAGTCATTGTGCCCGTTACATTTGCAGTGGCGACCAGATGGACACCAATTATTCTGAGAGTAGCTCACTTGGAGCTGGGGATTCATGTGATCGTCCAAATGGTGCAAAAATGCATGAAAAATTCATCCAGGGCCTCTTCTGATTCGATGAATGCTGGTTGGTTAAATGTTGATGCATGGTGTGTGCATGCAAAGGGTTTTCTTATTTAATTTTTCTCAGTGCCTTTTGCAGTGTATTTATTGTCAACGGTCGTACTGGGATATCGATGCAAATGTGGTTAATCGTGCAATTGCTCTAATTTTTCTGGATTTATCACTGGTTACAAAACATTAGAGCTTCTGATATTAGTCTCCATGAAAGAGCAAATGCTTGAGGTTAAATACCAGATATAGGCAGGCTAGCAAAACTAAAAAATATAGGTTCTGAATTAATTCAATTTAACGCTAAAGTTGTATTAAAGTAGCTCCTTTGTCAGTGTGCATACTGATGTTAACCTATAGCAGTAAAGTACTAGTTCATGGCTGCTTACATATAGCGTCATTGTACATCCTTAACAACTAGTTCACTGGGTTACATTACTTATTTACAACCCTCTAAGAATCTAAGCGCTTTGCAGACCAGTAGGGTAAAACAAGCTGAAATCATGATATGGATCCTGTGACCTCACGTGAGAATGTAACTGGATAACCCATCAGGTGTCAACTCATTTCACTCACAGCCAAGCATGCTCCTTGCCTAATATGTGTTTTCCTCCTGTCAGCGTAACAGAGTCTGCTTGTTACATGACCGGTAAATCCATCTTGGCTTTAAAAGGTTTGAACACATAACCACAAAAATAAATAAATATACAAATCATGGTTTAATATGTGAAGTTATTAAGTATGAAATTAAAAACCTTGCCTCAAGTGGACAGGCCCATTTCCCTCCCGCCCTGGGCCATTCTGAAAAACTGAGAGTGAGCGAGGATGGATAACTGCTTCGTGCTCTCCAGTGATGCAAACCATTTGTCAATCACCCCAACACTCAATTAATTTCAAGGCTGTGATGGCAGGTAAGAGTAATAGCTGAGGTGGAGTTCAAAGTGTGTTTATAACCAGACAACCCAGCGTCAGGATGGCCGATGGGAGTTGTAATGAGCCTCTATAAACCTGGGCTATAAAGGGACATGGCGCTAACAATTACATCATTGAATGTAGTGGTAGGCTGTGGAAAAATTGGGTTATAATTCTGCTACATGGTCTGGCTATATACTGGCTGTCCAGAGGAAAACACAGTGAAAATAAGAACAACTTGAGTTTAAAACGTCAGAGCTAGAGAAATCTAAGAGAAGCCAGCTCAAAGAAGAGCTGTCCTGAGCCTTATGGGAAATACAACTGATGAAACGACAGTGAAGTGAAAGTCTGATTAAATCCAAGTCTTATAAATTTATCCTATGGGCATTCATAATGGCTCTACCAAATTTAATTTCAACCAATCTAACAGTTGTTGGGATATTCCAATATACCCTCAAAACTCATAGCCACCAAGAATTACATTTCATACCTAAGAGGAACGTCTTTTCATTTGTTCTTTAGTGTTGGTTTGAAACTTTGTGATGTATTTAACCTTTTTTAATTGTATCTGTTTAATGGCTTTTGTAAATCCTCAACAAAAATGGCTGAGTTTGAAGCAAAATGGACTAACCTTAAAGCAAGAATTCTCCTCCTGGTCTCACAAACACTTTCTAACCATGCTGGGAATGGCGATAGATTTTGGAATCCTTTCACCCTCATCTTGTGCAAACAGCACACATAAAGAGCAGCTGGTTAACAGCTATTGGCTTGGATCTTATAATCTACACAGCGACCTACATTATGGGGCACAAAAAGTTCTCATACAGTGAAGGACAAGGTGAATTCTGTTCAAGTTTGCTGTCAGCTTAAGGCCACTTCTTAGTGCCCTCTAAAATAAAACGCTAACTTTGAAACTCAGACGATAAAGAGACAGTGTTTATCTCTCATCTGTTCTTGTTACTCGCCTGACACACACCTTCCTACCTGAGTGGAGAGGAGACGTCTGAGTGCCCTCACTGACGATGAATAAGACAGATGTTGCTTTTGCTATCAGGTGACATTGGTCTTGACAGCAAGCTGGTGTTATGTGGACGCATGACTGTAAGACACAGTTGTATCTTTCCTAGCTTAAAGCTCAAGGACAATGTGTTGGGC